TGTGAACAACACTGCAATTTATTACGATCATCCCTATGAAAATAATCTCATATGCATGAATACTTACTGTTCAAACTCCAAATCATTTCCGAGTTTAAACAACTCTTCAACTATTCTCCCTGACGAAAGTTTCCACATATAACTTTTGTCCATTGCCCTATAGGATTCCGCAAACTCTATTCGATTTTGTTCGCGCATTCTAAATGGCCCTTTCTAATGGAAAAAACATAAGTCTTTGTTATTATTCATAAAAAGTGCTAAAATTCTCAATGAAGATATACTTTGTTTTCCTTTGCCGCTTTATTGTTGCTCTCCTCTTTTACCTCTTTTTGATCATCGATCGCCTTCTTCAAGAGTAGATGGTGGTGAGAATAAACGTTTATAGCTAATAACCTGCAAGATATAATTTACCTCATGATCCGGTGTATCCAAATCATTTGCTTCAGAATCTTCATCGTTCTCGGAGTTAAAAACGTCAGATTCCGCCTGTACATACGCTCAGAAAGTTCAAGAAAAACACTTTTCGTGCTAAACATTAACATAATATAATTACCTCAATTCCAGGAAATATGGAAGAATCTGATGATTGAACTGTATACTCGGAAGTTTTTAGTCGTTGGTCCTGTGTATAAGTGTTATGTTGAGGGGGTAAAGTTACAAAAAAATGCTAGAAACGGAAACACTAATTCCTTACAGTGCTTACAGTGTTCGATTCTTCTTGATATATTCTCATTGTAGCACTCATTTCTCGACTTTCTAAAACTGTTTCATCAGCTAAGTTTTTCATCATCACCTGTGTCTTTTGTTTGATCTTTGTTCGGCATTCATACTAAAAACAAAATAACTAAAAATAAAATATGTACACAGACAGTCGTCAATAGAACATAACATCATACCGTTTGCAAAGCATTCTTTTTTTCCAGATATTGTTTTTCAATGTCAACCCAGAAATTCTTAATATCCGGTTTTTGGTAATGGCCCTAGGGAAAGAGAAAATATGTTTAAAAGTTAGCGGATATATAAGGAAATATTCTAGCACTAGCAGATCACAGCAGACCACAACAGTCCCGTAGGCATAGCCTGGAAGGGAAACCGTAATTGCCCTTCCCTGGTTGAGTGAGTCATAAAATGACCGCTTGAAGATCCATACACCACAACGATCCGTAAATCATCAGAGGAGGAACCGTAATTACTCCTCATAGTCGTGGAAGTTGGATATCTTATCCAACTAGTTGGAATCCCCATACTGCATGTGATTGCATGTGCTATATATAGGTAAATAATGCAAACTGTAATACTTAACGTGATCAAGATATTTGCTTTTTCTCGAACTTCCTGAGAGTCTTGCTGAGCTAAACGCTCAAGTGATTTCATGAGCCTAAAAGACTCTGTTGCAAATAAATAACTAAAGTCATCTTGACGGTAACGGTATTTATAAAAGCCTAGGTAGCTCCACTTATGCATAGGTGTCACAGTAAAGCACTTATCATCCGCGATTATTGACATAGTGATTGCTCAAACTCTTGATGAAAATTTAGCAGGTAATAAGCAGCAGTTATTTGCGCGAGTAACACAAACCAAAAAAGGAAATCGAATTTTGTAAATAAACTAAGTGCGTGCGTAAACGAATCCACCAGGGCGGCCACGAATTTTTCGGGTCACGTGATAAGCAACAAAAACATCCTAAAATTCGTCAAAGTTAGGATTAGTGCCGTATTTAGAGTTTGGAGATAAGAAATATGTAGTAAAATTAGTCGAGAAAAACTTTTAATTAGAGCATAAAAGGCGAATTCTTATGTAAATTCTTGAGATAAATGATATTTTTGTCA